GGACATTGATGTGGGCGCACCTCCCGGTCGGGTGCACTGCCCTGTTCCGGGCTGCCCGTGCGCTGATGCCGCTCGCAGCCCCGGCTGGGCCACTGTCCCAAGCATGCGGCATCACATTGACAGTCATCTGGCTGGGATCCTGGAGGGTGGCGTGCCGGCTGACTGGATGCAGGCCCACGGCCGGACGCGATGCCACGTTTGCGGACTCAGTGTGTCAATGCGTCATGCTGTGCACCCCACTTGCCGGCCCGCTGCTCGGGACGCTGTTGAACAAGTCAGTGCTCCCCGTGCTGCGGATGACAGCCTCCTCCCCAACTTCGAGGACATACAGAATGGACGCACCCGTACCCTTCGCCATGTCCCGGCTGCGGCTCGGTACCTGTGGGGCAAGGTGCTCGTCCGCGCCCTTGCTTCTGTGGCCCACAACAATGATGAGCGGGCTTGGCGTGAACTGCTCATGCTCCCGCAAAGTGTCCTTGGGACACCTCCCCGTGGTGGCCGGCGACATCGCAAAGCTTCGGCCGCTTACACGCAGGACCGCCTGCAGCGCTGGTGCCGCGAGCGACAAACGCTCTGGGATGTCCGCCACATCCCGCGGCAGGGGCCAAGCCGCAAGCTCTCTGCTGAGCAGCGACAGGAGCTGGTGGCTGCTTTAGCTCGGGAAGGTTTCGAGCGCAAGGCCTGCAAGGCGCTGCTTGCGTGCTTCCTTGGCTTTAGTTGACCAACTTTCTGCTGTTGTTAATCTGCTAGCTAGGGGGCTGCGTTGCTCCTGTCATGGCGGGTGCCGCGTTAGTTGCAGTTCCTAAACCCAAGGGAGGGGTCAGCGTCAGGCCTATCGCCATAGGGGAGGTGCTTCGGCGGCTCACTGGCAAGTGCCTGCTGGTGAAGGATGAGGCCAAGCAACATTTCTGGCCTGCGCAGGGCTGAGACGGCGGTTCACACTGTCCGAGCCTGGCTGGTGCGTAACAGCGGCGCATCGGGCAAGATTTTGGTGAAGCTGGATCTCCAACGCGTTCAACAACATTTCCCGCCACGCTGTGACCTCCCACTTCCCTGCCCTTGCTCGCTGGGTGGCGTGGTGTTACCGTGCGCCAACTCGCCTCTGCTTTGGGGAGCGCGCTGCCATTCCCTCGGTCAGGAACTGCGTGCAGGGCCGCTTGACGATGGTGGTTTGGCCGGAGACATTGCGGATGTGGTTGCGGCTTTGAAGTTGTGGCTGTGGGCCAGGTCCATTGTGGCGGCCCACACACTGCGGCTCAAGCTACTGCCGCCGAGCCTCTCTTGAATGCCATTGCGGATCTCGAGGGCCCACAGGTGGGGCCTGCTCCGCGCTTGTGCAGGGCACTGCCGCATGGCCATAGCATGCGGTGCTCGCTGGTCCGGGCTTCGCGGGCCTCACTGGCCTGCACCTCGATGAGGCACAGTGGGCGCAGGCTAGCAGAGGCCTTTCTCAAACTGGCCTGGGACTGCGCGCCGCCGCAGTGGATGCGCCTGCTGCCTACCTAGCCTCGCTGGGTGGCTGCGCAACTGACTGCTGTGGGCTTGACCCGCAGTATGGTGTTGCTGGACGCTGACCACGCACGTGTTGCTTGGCATGAAGCAGAAGGCCTTGCCGACAACAATGCAGGGTGGCGCCAGCACTTCCAGCGCTGCGTGCTTGGTTGGCTGCTGTGCCAGCCGCGCGTGGGGGCTGCTGCTTTCACCATGGAGCTGCGCCAGCGACTGAGCGTGGCTGGCTGCAAGGGCGTGCTGGACAAGCGCTCGCTCCATGCATCCACTTGTGTGGCGGGCGGAGAGGGCAACCAGCGCCGCAACTGTCTCCGAGATGTGCTGGCAAGCTGTGCGGCGCGCGCAGGGCTGCAGCCCGAGCTTGAAAAGCCGGGCCTGCTGCTTCCACAAGATGCTCGAGTTGAGCGCCGTCGCCCTGCGGATGTGTACCTGCCGGCTGGCGGGGGCTCCTGCTGCCCTGCCCTTGACCTGGCTGTCACAGCCGATCGATGCACCTATGTTGCCTATCAGGGCATTGAATCACAAAAGCCTAAACAGCAAAAGGCAAATTATGTGCAAGAAGAAGGCTCTCCCTTTGGAGAGGTATCTTCTATGTGCAGTGAAACTGGTGTTGCTGCTTGCTTTAATTCTGTTCACACCAAGAAGGTAGTCGACTTGTCCTTGGTGGTGTTGCTCACAAGAAGAGAGGCTGGTTTCCATATGAGAATGGACAAGCCCTTGTGTCACACAGAGCCAAGGCACTCAGAGGCCCTGAACCTACATTCAAGGTGAGGGGTTATCCTTACAGGGTTTCCTTCATCTTGAGGCAAGGAA